AATAAATCACCCGTTACAGTATCCAGTTCACTGGTTCTCAGACTACTTTTCCCTTCTTCTATGCCAGTTTGAAGTCCTCTTTCCCATCACTGCTCTCACAGATGTATGAGTATTCCCACTCTGTTCCGAATCACTGTAATATTCACTGCGTACTTTCCTGCCAAATGAATGTGGTCATTCACAATATCTCTCCTACTTGAAAGAAAGAAAAAGACGAAAAGCCTCCACCCTCACTGCTCCCCAAGAATACAAGAAACAAGTGAAAATAATGTTGAGAAGTTAACCATGACCCTGACTCAGTCCAGCATAATGCTCCTCCAAATTTTGCCTTGCCTGTTCAAGCAAATTTGTCCTGTTCTCTTAACCTAGGCCACCTCTCCTTATGTAGTCTCTGTACCCTCTGTCTACACCGAGGTATTATAGGGAATTGCTTCCTCGCATCTGCCTGAAGTTCAGTTTTTCATAGCTTGTGCTCAAACCAGCCTAGTCTTTGGTAGTACGCAACCAAAGAGAAAGTATAACCCTGCCTGGGGATTTTGTTGTTGTTGTTGTGGAGTTTTGTTTCTTTAAGTCTATCATTCCTCCTGCCCTATCTTACTGTTACAGTAAGGGAGAGTATGGGGCAGAATTTAAAAGGAGTTTTTTAAAAAAAAAGTTTTTTCTTAATATTTTCCTGAGTCTAATGACAGCCCCATGAAGACTCTTCTGTGTCTTGGCAGCGGCTGACAGTAATATACCTGATTACCCGACAGTAATATAGCAGATATCAAGGAAAGGGTGGGGTAGGGTAAGGGCATCCGTAGTGGTAGTTTCTCAGAACAGTTTCCCAACTCTTGCTTTGTGGCTCAGGGCTTCTGAAATGAGGATGGTGGCCTGTTACTTCATAGGCCTTGATAGATTTTTGTGTTCAGTAGTTTGTCCATTAGGTTTTTCTTATCCACAAAATTATTATCTACAACATCCTGTTGGAGGAGTTTTTGATCTTGCCGTCCATTTTCATTTAATGACAGAACAACTAAAGGTATCTTTAATTTCTAATATATATTTAGCAAACAGCTTAATTTTTTATTATTTGCCAATAGATTAAAATTAACAACAAGAATAACAAATAATGCACTTCAAAATTCAAAAATAATCATTAAAAAACCCCAAACTGATTCCTGTTAAAAAGATAAATCCTGAATTCTGCTAGTCTTTTGACTGTGGCACAGGTTTGGACCATTCTGTAGCCTGAGCTGCTTTCATTTCCCGTCCCAGTGTCTTCAAGTTTTGAGAGGTAGAGACTAAAGCCTGATGGAATATATTGAAACTTCTTACTCTGCCTCCTTTCTTCCCTGCCTGAAATATAATTAGTACTTCAACAGGAAAGTTCAGTCTCCAGTTTGATAATCGTCTGCTTGGGCAAAATTATTGAGACTGTTGAGATTATTTGTATTTAGTAAAGTTCAAAACTTCTAATAAACTTAAAACTAATCTTGTTTTTCAGACTGAAAACCTAGAGAGTACAATAACCATACCAGATATCAGATTACATAGCAACCCTTCAGCTTTTAATGTTTACTGCAATGTCCGCCATTGTGTGTTGGAGTGGCAAAAGAAGGAAGCATCTGTGTCTTTGGCTTCAAAGAACAGTGTACAGAGTGGGGATTCGGACAGTGATGAAGAGGAGGAATCCAAAGAGCCACCTATTAAACTTCCAAAGGCAAGTAACTAGATACTCTTTGAAGTGTGCAATGTATGTGATTTAAAGTTGGTATATTCTTTATGGGGAATAAAAACCAGTATTATAAGCTAGCTGCTCAGAAAATAGCTATAGTTCTATTTGTAGTCCATCTGGTCTAGAATCATCTGATTTGATGAATTAGGAAGATCTACATACCTGCCCAATAATTAATTTTAAAGTCAATTAAATGTCAGGTAAACATCCAACTTGTACTCCTTTATAAGTACTGGTACTTGAAAATAACCTACAACCTCAAAAGTCTGCAGAAAATGCGAACAAGGCAGCTCTTATATCTGTCAGAGGCTACTAGTAGTGATAAAGGGTGCTTTCTCTTGCTTTATCTCCAAAATAGAATAAATCTTTCTGTTATTGGAATTCAGTTGGCAGAATGTTTTCTAAGAATATTTACCAGGTATACGTGTAATTGCAGTAACTGTCAATTATTCTTACTGCCTTAGTTCGTTAATCCTTCCCTTTTTTGCCTTTAGTGTCTTTTGGCACTGATAACTACAGATAGGTAATAATGCACATTAAGATTTTGGATACTGTAGTTCAACAGTTAGGGTAGGTTTTTTTACTATTTACTATCCCCATGCTGATAGTAGGATTAATGATGGAAAATCAGAAATAATCTATATAGGAGTTACTGATTTTTTTCTCAATTTTTTTAATTTGCCAATTTGCTTGTTTTGTACTGTGTAACTTCTGTGCGTTCAGTCTTGCTCATTACTAGCTTATTAATGCTAGGAATCCTGCTTCCTTTTGGTGTTCTTCTGAGTCTAAAAAGTATATTCAGAGTAACTTTCCTTGTTTGTATTTGCTCTAAAACCAATACAAATACTGAATTAAAAAAAGTTGTTGCGGCAGTGATTATGTAGAATGTTCTAGTTGCTTAGAAAATTAGAATTTTATAGATGATTGTGTTTAGGTAGTATTACCTGAAGGGTAGAGTTGGCACTCTGGAAAGTAGTGGTGGAGAATTGCAGAGAAATGTAACCAAGTCAGGTAACTGCCACTTGTTAACTGAAATTTCATGGTTGATAGTTGCAAAATAATGTGTGGTCAGTAGAAATAAAGTTAGCATTGTTTGTGAACTGCATCTGACTCCTTGTGGATTATATTAAATGAATCAGTGAGTGCTTATAGATGCCTAATTTGAAATTTTAAGAAAAGGCAATGTAGCTATTAACACTTAAAAAGAATGGACTGGAGTTTGCAAAGAGATTTTGAAATTAAAAGAGGTTCCAAGAAGGATGAGATCTACCGGTGATATGGACAGAACACTTGCTTGTGAAAACTAAAACATTGGTATTGCTAAAGGTGTTGGTGAGTTTATCAAAAAGGGATTTGGAAAAGTGGTGCAGTTTTTAAAAGATGGTGTCTTAGAAAAAATGGTAGGGAACTGTAGGTAAGAAACTTTACTTTTCCTTTCTCAAAACAGAAAACGAGTGAGATATTTTGTTACATTTAATACAGCAAATATAAAATTGATGAAAATCAGTATGCTTTCAAACTATTCATTTTTAGCAAAGAATCTATAAAATACCAAAGAATTCAAGAAATTTTACTAACTCAGCAATGGCTTAGATGCTTGGTACGACCTCAGTATTTTTAATAACTATCTAGCTAATATTTTATTACTAATTTCACTTCATCCATACATTTGAAAAAGACATCCACTTGGAGCTGTCTCACAGGTAGTAAAATATTTAGAAGCTAACTGTGTAAAGGTCTTTGTGTCCTCAATATAGGTGTCTGAATCTCGTGTTTTGAGTATATTATGGTCTGGTTCTTATATATAATGAATAATATTGGGTAGGGCTTAGTTTGTTAGAAATGTCAATAACTTTCTTCTTTATATTTAAGGTTTACCATATTTACTAGACCAGTTTCTGAAAGTAACCATTAGCTTATTAAGAAGAATACTGATGCATTTTGAGTTTGACAGTAAGGTGAAAGTCAGATTAAAAAAAAATATAACTAGGATTTGTGCTTTTCTAGATTCTCCAGAGTTAAACTGGTGAAGGTGGTCCTTGGTGTGGTGGTTTTGGGTTGTGTGGTTTTTTGGTGATTGTTTTTTTTGGTGTTTTTTTGTTATTTGGGTTTTTTTGTTCATGAAAATTCTTTGTTTAATTGAGAATAAAGTGAAAACATTCTCCTTATTATGCAGCTTAGGTTGATTTTAGCTGTTCTATTGAAGTATCTTTTTTTTTTTTAATCTTGAGGAACTCAGACTTGTTAGAGCTTTTATTTGGAACACGTTTCAGAATTAAAAGTTGTCCTATGCAATTTCTATAATAAGATTGAGAGCAATTGTTTTTAACAGTTGTTAAAAGAGGCATAGAGAGACAATTTGCTAGTCTTCAGATATTAATGCAATAAAGTTTGTATTTTGGTTGTGTTTGGACGGTTTAGTAATTTGGTTTGAAGGCTTTAAAATTTTGGACTTACATAAATATTTGCCTTTGCCTGACTTATTTAGTACCTTATTTATTTAGTACCTTAGCTAATGATTGGGGAATTCTCTCTACTTGAAATAGGGCAGATTCAGTTCTACTGATTTGATTTGTAATTGTTAGAGGTGCTTCCCCCTCCCAGTATTAAACTTAACTCTGGGCTGTGGGTGATCCACAAAAGCCCTGGACTAAAAGGAACAAATGCTGGATTAAGGTGATAAAAGGTGGAATTAACTGACTTAAATATTTTTTGTTCTTGCAGTGGCATACATTTTGCTGTTTAGCTAATAAACAAAAATGAAAATTTTCAAGTTGTAACAAAAAATAAAAGAAAAATAATTATTCTCTTTAGAAACTGACTTAGTCTTCTAAAATTCATTAGGAGAATGTGTTACCTGGGTACAGTTTGGGGTTTTTTTGTATGTATGTATATTATATACAAGTCAATTAATGCAGAGCATTAAATACACAGAATATTATGTATTCTTAAATAAACATAGAAATGTGAGTATTGGGCAGTTACAAGAGAGAAGACAAAGGACATAAACCAGTAGTGTAGATAGGACTTCTTGAAGAAATAGGATATTTTTTGAGGAATTAATTATGGGTCATAATGTTTGCATCCAGGCTAGAATTTTGTGTACCCTTCATAAGGTGGGCTTACACTTTTGATCTTAAGTCTCAAAGATGTTGCGAAGGGAACGGGAGGATGGCGGTGTGGAGAGCATCAATGAGAGCAGGCGGGCTGTGACACAGACTGAGGCTGCAGCAGTGCTGCTTTTGGCTCAGAGGCCCTTCAGAGAGCAGCAAGAACAAGCTTAAGATGTCTTGAAAAAAACCATTTGCTTATTCTGTCCTTCAGTGCACAGTTTGGAGAAGTTGAGGGATACACACATTTTTTTAGTATATCTATATTTATGTACCAGTGTATAATACACATACATATACATATTAAGGTGAAGAGACCTATTTTAAGAAGCCTACCCAGCCTGTTGATCTCAGGTACTAAAAAAAAAAAAAAAAAAACCAAAAAACCAACCAACAAAAAAACCCCAAACCACCCAACCCCAAACCTGTGCAGATCAGGCAAAATCCCGGCAGAACTATCCATTGTTAATTCCTACTGTAGTGGAAGTTCACCAAATTATTTTCTCCACTTTGTTATATTCTCTGCTTTCTCCAGCTGCCTCTGTCAGCTGCTAGATGAGGTATTCTGTCTGAAGGTTGGGAAGAATACAATAAACTTCTCAGTTTTCCTCAAAGATACTATCACTGAAAAGAAAGGATATTTTTAAAAATGTACTACAGTGTATTCTATTCTTTATCCTGCAAGACGATGCTGCGTTTTGTATTCTGGAAAAAGCAGCTGTGTTGTTGTTTTGTTGACAGTTTTTTCCCTGTAGATTCCATGTGTGTGTGTGCCCCCTCCTTTGAAGATATGAAATGTAAGGTGTAATTTGCAGGAAAACTGCTGTTGCACTTTGAAGGCTTGATTTGATTGTATTTCTATTCTCCCTCCAAAAATCAAACAGGTGGTAAAATAACTTGTGAAAGACAGAAATAAAAATAAATTGAATGACAGCAAAGGCAGTTACAAGGCATCCAGTAGAACTTACAGCTGACTGTCAGAACAGATCTGTTTTAAGCATGAATGGCAGTTCGACTAATAATTTTATGTATTTTTGCATTTCAGTTTTTTTCCTTATAGATTCACCCCTGAGTAAAATCTATTAAACACTCTAAACATTGGGGCTCTGCTCCTGATAGAAACACATGTTGAAGTTTTGAAGATATGGTTGTTTATTTGTAAGGAGTCCTCATCATTATTATCACAATAAGGAATCCTCATCGTTATTACATACTGAGTTTGAGAAGGAATTGAAAGTGCTCAGTGGAGAGAAGCATAATTGAAATCTCAGAGTATTAAGGAATTTTAAAAGGGAAAGCTAGGAGTGGCTGTAACAGCGCTTTTACAGATGTTGTGTTAGTTGACATAATGCATGTCTGTGGTGAGTATATGTGGAGTTTTAGTGACGAGTAATTAATCTTTATTTTTTATATTGTCACAAAAACAATCTGGGGCTTTGGACGAGAAAGTACAAGTTCTGACAGTATCAGCGGTCAAATGTATCATTACTCAAGTTGGGAAGTCAGGTTGCAAGCTAATTTTAGCTTGCTGGTTGACATTAATGAGCAAGGAAAAAGGAAAAAGAGGTCTGTCAAACTGTGAATTTCATAGAAATTAGAAGGACTCAGAAGCAGAGTTTGTCTTACATTGTCCAAAAAATGGTAAGTTTCCATATTTTTTTCAGGGACCTATTGTTCTGCTTAGATATACACTCTTTTGTATAATGACATTACTTCTGTGTAACATTTGCTAGTACAGTTGTGTAGGTGGGTTCTTGAATTTGATTCTCTTTTGAATTACCATTTTATTCTGTATTACATTTTATTTGAATAACCATCTTGTTCTGTGAACATTGGGATATACCGTTATTGATGAAGATCCAAAAATATTACATTAAAAGATATTCTGAAATATCTGTACTTCTTTAGATCATTGAAGTTGGATTATGTGAAGTCTTTGAACTGATAAAGGAGACAAGATTTTCTCATCCATCCTTGTGTCTCAGGAGCCTACAAGCCCTACTTAATGTGCTCCAGGGCCAGCAACCAGAAGGCCTGCAATCAGAGCCTCCTGAAGTCCTAGGTAATATCTCATCTGTTACTGTATTTTTATTAACATACACCTGTGATTGTGTTGAACAAAAGAAAATGGTTCCTAGCAAGTATTCATGAGATAGTAACATGCTTGTTCTCAGCTGACTGACTCTTCTGGAGAGTAAACTCCTTATGGTGTAACTAACTAGTACTTTCTCAGCATTGATCTTTTGTGTAACAGGAATGTTGACATATAAAGGTATATATATGTAAAAAAAGTCATATTTTGTTGCTGTGTAATGCAAAGTTTCACTGAAACATAGTAAACATTACAACATTACAAACTGTGTTTCATTTCTTACTGAAGCTATAAAATACTTGGTCTTATTGGAAAGAAGATGGATCTACAGTGAACTTCTCTTGCAATCTGCTGTTGTAATCTATAGCATAGCTATTTAATGTTGTAATTTATACAAAGCTGCTAAGCAAAGTGTCAGAATTCTTGCTTTTATTTCCTCTGGCCATCCAAAAGCTTCCCTGAAAATTAATTTTGCTTGTAATGGTATTGAAGATAAAAGTTGAACTCCTGATGGCTTTGAGTGTATGATTGATTATGTCCTTTAAGTTAAAATCCAATTATCTTCTATTAATTCATAGTTTTTACTGGTTTATAGAACTGCAAGGAAGGCTAGGCTGTAGCATCTGTTGTTTCAATAATAATAAAATCTTAAGACTTTCTATGTCTATTTTCCTATGTTATGGCTCAATAGTATTCTATTTCCAAAGATGATAGTAATTTGCTACAGAAAACTTTTACTTTGTATCGATGCACAGAGTATTAAAAAAGTACAAAGAAGGCTTTGTTTTGATTACTGGCTTAGTGATTATTTGCATATACTATAAAAAAGATTGAGGTGGATTTCTGTTCACACCTTGATTGTTACAGACGTTCAGCAGCTTAAGCAGTGCTTGAAAAGAGGCATATGATCAAAATACTTTTCAAGCTTTGATTTGAAATGCTTGTTTCTGAGAAATGTGATGTACTTCAACATGGGTAATGGTCATAAAGATTAGATAAGTTTGGTCAAAACCTACACATCATCTCAGTGATGAGGTAGACTGAATAGGCAGGTAAAGTAACTCCTTCTGGCCCATTTCTTATTAATGTGTTCCACTGTAACAGATAAGACTTAGTTTTTCTTGTTCTCTGGCCATTGTGATTATCAAGACTTGATGTTTTCTGGCTGAAAAAGAATGAAAAGTTAAGGATGTTGTAGGCCTATTTAAAAGGGATACTTTCTTTTCTGTCTGGAAATAGGACTAAACTTAATGGCTGAGGAAAGATGTATCATGTATTTTGTAAGCCGAATTTCCCATTGACTGGCAAATTGCTTGGTATGATTTTGTGACTTGTCTATGTAATTGCTGTGTTTTATCTACAGAATCCCTGTTCCAGCTTCTTCTGGAGATAACTGTCCGTAGCACGGGAATGAATGACAGCACAGGACAGTCCCTGACAGCACTTTCCTGTGCTTGCCTCTTCAGTTTGGTAGCTGCATGGGGAGAGACAGGAAGAACGTTGCAAGCAATCTCTGCTATCCTCACCAATAATGGCAGCCATGCTTGTCAGACTATTCAGGTCTTGCACTAAAACTTCTCTGTGTCTGGGAATTTATGTAAATGATATGTAGATGAGTTCTGAGAAGATCTATTGTGTACATTGTTAACTTTTTCACCTTGCTGTTCTTGAGATAAGAGTAGGTATTTCTGTTTCTCTTGAGTTGGAGATAGAACAGAAAATACAACATTTAAAAAGTAGTTGTGTTTTGCACTCATGATTTCTTTTACTGTTCAGGTGCCAACCATTTTAAACTCTCTTCAACGGAGTGTACAGGCAGTTCTGGTGGGAAAAATCCAAATCCAGGACTGGTTCAGTAATGGGATAAAGAAGGCAGCCCTGATGCACAAATGGCCATTGAAAGAAATATCTGTAGATGAAGATGACCAGTGCCTACTTCAGAGTGATGGTTTTTTCCTCTATCTCTTATGTAAAGATGGACTTTACAAAATCGGCTCTGGATATAGCGGGACAGTGAGGGTAATGTGATTTCTTCTTGTCTGATGAATGGTAGTTAATATTTTAACTGTTATGATGTCCTGTTTCCATTGGGAATCTTTTGTAGCTTGCTAATGATCAGTTCTTTTACAGTTTGTCTAAATTTTTCTGATGATCTCTATGAGAATTTTACAGCATTTTCTTAGAATTTTCACTTCTCAATATGGTTGAAAACATTGTTATTTATATGGTAAATGGTTATGTGTAAAATTGTCACTCTAATACTTGTTAAATGATTTGAGTTTTTTGCTTTTCAGGGCCATATATACAATTCTACATCCCGCATCAAAAACAGAAAGGAAAAAAAGTCTTGGTTAGGCTATGCTCAGGTAGGTGAATGCTTAAAACATAAAACATGTGCCCCATCCCTCATGAGTAATCTAATTAGACTTTGGCTTAGAGTAAGCTTACATGGATATTGTACTGTTCCTTTGGCTTTAAGTACAAAAATCAATTTTTTGGTACTGACTTAAATTGTGGAAGATAAGGAACATCTGATGGTATTGGCATATAGAAAGGAGTAATGAAAAGTGTCATTGATTTGTGTTGTCACTGTAAAGACTTTTTCAAAATATGATGGTTTAACACGTAAATTTATGGGATGTAAAAATATGCTGTTGCAACAAAATAGTGTAAGAATACTTGAAACTTCTGTTGAAGAAAATAAATTGATTTTAAAACATTTGCAGTAAAATAAAGAAGTGATGCTGTTTTGCTTGGGGGAGAATTGAGGGTGCATAAACCATAAGTAGAGATAATTGTTGATGTTACCATTGCAGACTTAACTATATTTGGATAGTTTGTTTATTTAAAGTTTGTTTCTGGAATATCAACCACCTTTTCTTACACCTTTGCCGTTCGCTATAAAAATAGTGGGTTTTTTTAGAATCCTGTTATTACCACTGAGTACTCGCTCTCTCTCAAAAAACCCACCAAAACCAAACAAAAAAACTCCCATGACAAATCAAAAATTAAATTTCATAGAACAACGGATTTACTTCATTTTTTAACTACTGAGCAATTTTTACTATTAACTGAGTGATCTCATTATCCCAGCGTGAAAGTAAGTGTACTCCTTGCCATGCTTTTGAAGTGAAATTGTTCATTACAAATATACATTCTATTTTATAGTTATCACATAAATATATATGTATTTGCTTGGCCTCAGTCACCTTTAGTGAGTACGTTCATAAGTGCCGCTAAGTAATCTTTTTCATTTCCTGTAGCTGCTTTTATAGCAGAAGTGCTTTCTAAGGGTAAATTCCCAAGCTGTTTTTTTACCCTGCTCCCTCAAAATCTTTGAAGGGCTCACAGGCATTGTAGGATCGAAAAAAATGCGAGACCAAAGTTGCCATATTGCTTCTCTTACAGATCTGTGTTCATTATGCAAACTTTAGGGGCTTATGCAACATATCTAGTTTAAAGTAAAGCAAAACTTACTTGACTGTGTTTGTTTCAAAGTGTTTTCAAAGTTATAGGTATAAACAATAAACCTCAAATGTGAGTTTCAGATAGGCAAATCTTTTTACTGAGAAACCTTCTAAACAGGTGACTGAATCAAACCTTTAAAAAATATATATACCTATAAACAAAGAGAAGATACTGGTTTGGTATACCAAAGGAGACTTCTTGATGTGGGCTGCTGACCAGAATAGATAATTTTGGGGAAAATTCTGCATTTGGAGAAACAGAAAGAGGAAATCGTTAGTCCTGAGTATCTCCCTTCCCCTAGGTCTGGTTAGGAGTTGGGACATGAGCAGTATAAGAACTCATTGTATGTAACCATGTGTCATGGGTGCTGTCACCAGAGTCACTTCTCTGATGAAGAGTTTAGAAAGAGTCTTCTTAGTGTGGGAGTCAAAGTAGTTAATTAACATTTTAAAAAAAATTCTCTAGTTCTTAATGCACATATTAATATTCCCTAATGATTACTTTTCTATGTATGTATGTATCTCCTTCCTGGAATTCCTGTGAATCTTTTGTTGATTTGGGAAGTGCAGACATTGGTTTTTACTGTGTCCATGGCTTTGAACTGTGATTGTATACACACGGGAAGAACAGAACTACTACACATGGCTTCAAAAGCTGTATATGAGCTTCAGCATGCTGATCTACAGGATGTAGAATGTGTGGAGAAAGGGGTTCAAATTTCCTTTTTTTATTGCAGAATTTTATTAGTGGAAAAAAGTTGATTATCAAAATGAAGCGAATTTGATGTAAAAGGCTTCAAAATTTTTAATTAATATCTAAAATAATGATTGCATTTTTTTCACTTTTGATAATATCCTTTGATGTATTAAAGACTATTTTCATACCAATATATATATATATTCTTACTCTTACCAGGGTTATTTATTATACAGAGATGCGAATAATCACAGTATGACAGCCATAAGAATAAACCCTGAAACTTTGGAACAAGATGGTACAGTTGCTTTGCCAGGTATGAAACTCCAGATATGAGAAGATAGTTATAATTTACTGTTTACATGCTATGTATTTTCAAGTAAGCAGAAGAGAAATTGAGATGGATTTTGAGATCACAGAGAGACTGGGTTTTTATGACTTTGGTTTGCTGCATTAGACCAGCTGCAGTATTTTATTCAGAGGTCTTACCCCAACTACTGGAAGAATATTGCAACATTTTAGAACGTATGGTCATCTTAATTTAAAGACTCCAAGAGCTTAACTTCCTTCTGCAAAAATTTTTCTTTCTTCCTTGTTTGAACTTTGAGTATTTGGCTTAGATGTGACTTTGCTTCCAGTATCTCTTACGTGTAGGTGGTTACAAACTATCACCAAAACCATTTGATTTTTAACATAGGTAGAAATGTATCCAAAACAACAAGGGAGGCTAATGAACACTGATGGACCATCCTTCTGATGTTTAAATTGGTGATGGATTTCTGTTTATTTGTTTTGGGAATTTTTTTGTAGTTTTGGTTTTAGTTTGGGTTTTTTTAGCCACTCACATAAACAATAGAAGGGCACAAGAGTATCTTTCACTTGAACAATGACAGGCTTATTCCGTAGATCAGAAGAAAGATTTTGTGTTGCATCCCGACATAAATAAGAGGGCACTGATCAAAACCTCAGAAAAGTTCTCTAGACTTTTTTGTATTTCGAATACAAACAATAATTTTTGAAACCAACTATGAATGTAAAATGTAGTCTATGCAACTTCCTGCAAGTCCTTCAAATGTGGATGTCTGTTTAATGTGCTTGGTCTTCATGGGGCTGTATGAGAAGTTTGAGAGCACACTCAAGGACCAGAGAAATTACCTTGTAGGATTGTTTTTTCACTTTCTCCACCTCAAGGCAGCTTTTTCAGCCAGTAGAGTCCTTTAAGGTCCTTAATTATGTTACCATTGGTAAACAAATCAGTGCTCTTCATGCAAGTCTTGAGAGACACTTGAACGCATTCAAAGTCTACGCCTCTGAGCTGTTACTTTATTTTGCAAATCTCAATGACAGGTTTCATTCTGCAAGACAGCCTTGTGCTTATACTATAAAAAGGCACAATTTAAACAAGAGGTATGCCTTCTGTACAAAAATGTATTAATATTTCCATGCAAAAGCATATCTTAGAACTGTGGGAGTACCCTTTCAGAAATCCCTTAAACTGTTTCACACACTTGCATTTCGTACAGTTTGTGATGGAGTCAAAGTGGATGCTAGATGTTCTTCATAATTACTACCCTTTATATTTCAGCCCTTGAACTTTGCTGGTTTACTTTCTGCACTTCTGTCTCACTGTTATAATGTGAGCAGATATGGCCTTGTTCTTTTAGCTAGGACAAATTTAAAGGGTCAACTTCTGGTTATTTCCATTGCCCATTAAAAGAAAAGAAATGAAGGTGGCTGGGAGGGTATGTGACCTATCCTGAGGAAACCCGAGTAGGTACACAACTCTAAGTAGTAGTTACTGCCCCACTGTAATATTAATAATGACTTGCAGCGCGTTGTAGTTCTGAAAAACCACACTGGATAGAACTAGAGGGCAGTAACCTTGCTAACAGCTGAACACTGATATGACTCCACCTATTTCCTCCTAGTTGGTATGGTATTCAGACCTGGCTCTTTCTGGAGTTAGTCTCTTTCAAATGCCTGGGTTGGTGATAATACATTTAAATAGGATATTTGTATTTATTCATGCAGGGATGCGTAGGAGATTAGGAGTTCATTAGGAGATGTGATTAGGAGTTGATCCTAGCTAGAAGTCATGTGACCTTAGAAAACTCAGTGAACTATGGAACGTTATCATCTCCTTTCTCAGACAGTAGGATCTACCAGCTTCTTGAAACCATAAACTTCTATTTCAAAGGGCAGTCTTTCCGCTCTGATGATCTAGCAAATCTGACAATCTATCTGGAACTACCAGACTGTGTGTCAACGTTCTTGTATCTAATGCCTTTGCCAAACTTCATACGCTGTCCTTGAACTGTGGATCTATCTTCCCAACCCAAATATCATAAAAGAATCCCTGAGTTCGGTGAGATTTTCTAGGTGATTGGACCAGAATTTACAGAGGAGGTTTTAATCTTGACTGTTCCCTTAACAGTAATGCTTACTATACCTTAGAGAAGGATTGCTGTATTCAGCTGAAGGTGTTGAAGTTACATCTTGTATGGTTTCATTTTCTTTGAAATTACACGTGAGTATCTTGGAGCTCAGGACTATACACTTAATCTGAAAATTACTGCCAACTGAGGGTAGCCTAGACAAGCTCAAGAGTGCTTATTAGCAGGCACAGGATGAACTGTATAAATACGGAAGGTAATGCTTGAAAGTCATTTTCTCTTGAAGCCTCTAAGGAGGCTGTGATTAACAGGTGTCTGTAGTTAGGTCCTTTAAGTAAAACATAAGCCGGGCAGAAAGCTTGGATATCTTTGTCCCCAGAGTAATTTCCAAAGTCAGACCGAATAAGACTACAGTTGATCGTAAGAGCTCCTTGTTAGTTGAGACACTATGCTATCCTACATTTTGCAGCTATTCCATTTGCCTTCGATTTTCTACTCTCCCCATTAATTTGATATTTAATGCTGGGCCTGGATGTTATCTAATCAAGTGCTAATTTTTAGAAAGTCTTCTGAAGAACATACATTTAAAAAAAAAAAAAAAAGCATCCCTGTTCCAGATTTCTTCTATGAACACACCTACCAAACATATAAACGGCCCCCAAAAATGGTTACTGGGAGGCTCACTTCTTGAAATGACTCAAGAAATAGGCCGAAAAGTGTAATATTGGCCCACTGGTGACCACAATATCCCATTTCCTTGACTGTTAGGCTTACGTGAGCATGTAATTTTCAGCCATTCAACAGATCTTAACGCTTACCAACTTCCTGTAACCTTTCAGAAATGTCATTTAGATTATTTTTGGAACTTCCCTTTAAGTTACTGATAACTCTTGTTATCAGTCACCAATACTACTTTGCAGCATGGAGAATTAGTAACATGAACTGACTTTGGTCGTTAAATCCAAGATTATTTTTGAGAGAGCAGTATTTCAGACTTCAGTGTATCTGCCATTCTCCGTTCTGCTTGCTGTTTACCCTCTTTGTGATTTGTATCTGTGTGTGCTCTGGAGGAGGGAGGTTGTCTACTTTAGGTCTGTTACTTCAAGATGTGAGAACTGGAGAAAGCCACCTAATGCATATTCTGTTCCTGGTAAGACACTGTATTGGACTGAGCAATATAGCAAGAAAAAGGAAACAAGTTCATGAGTTTGTGAATACCGTGGGGGTTTTTCAGCTGTATTATTTTTAATAAAACACTCTAGGTAGCTAGCAAAAAATAGAAAACTTGTTGGTTATGCTGGAAGGATATTATGTGTGCTTCATTTAGTGTTAAATTTGTTAGATAAAATGACTGATAGTGCATCTTTGATCATGTTATGAAGTGTATTATAACATATTTAGAGTGTAAAGTAGCTGTCCTGTAGTATTTTTGGAAGAGGTCTCCTTCCTGTGTGTAATCAATGGAACAAGCACCTTACAAGCCGTATAATACCAATCTCTTTTTTTAGTAGCTCCATCAGCAGAGCAGGAAGGGAAGAAGAGATGGTATAGGGACATACTTTAAAACTGGTAGAGAAAGTGGTCTTTTCCTTCCCATAATATGGGCAGAATTCTTTCCCTACCTTTTTTTCTTGGAAATAGCTGACCTGTTTTCAATAGATGTGTGATGCATTCAAGTGTATGCTTTATAGTTTTACAAACCACCTAGATTTTCCAGTTAATGGTTTGCAAAATTTATAAACAATGGGAAAAGGAGATAATGAAAAGTTTGATTCTGTTTAATTTTATTTCTGTAAGTTCTATATGCTGGAGTGAGGAAACTTTTCTGTAAAGATAATGGCCCTTATTTAAAAAAAAAAAAAAAAAAGCCTTTGGGGAAGGAGAAAGACTAACACTCCCAGAAAATTAGAATTTAGTTGTATTATAATTGTTTAGAATACCCCTCACAGATGAATAGTGAATGCTTTTGCAGTTAATTATTGGGATAATTCCTTACGTTTCATGCAATAGAAAGTGGTTTAATGACTCTTAAAGGGACAAAGGGGAGTATATGTGCTTTTGGTGAGAGGAGATCCTAGCATAAAATAATGTGTCATCAGAACAGTATGATCTCTTTTTATACAAACTAGAACTCTCATAGTCTGTAGTGAGAATGAATTAGAAGCAGAGAACAGTGTGTGTAAATATAAACTGATGCAGTGCACTTCATCTTTCTCTCACAGATTGTCATACTGAAGGGCAGAATATCCTTTTCACTGATGGGGAATATATTAATCAAATAGCAGCATCTAGAGATGTAAGTGTTATGTATGGGGTAAACTATTTTTCTCTTAACTAAATTGTTATATTTTATAATACTTATAGCTTTCTTTTTGCTAAATGTTTGGCTTTTTCTTTGCTAACACAACTAAGGAAGAAATGCATGTAACTAGAAGTAATGAGAAACTGCTATATTTGTGCATGAAGAAGCAGTATTTTGGTATTTATCCACACAATTTTGATTTGTGATGGGTTTTTCAGATTTGTTTTTTAATTTTTCAGATAAGTATTTCTTAAAACTGTGTTACTCTTTCTGAGGAAAAAAAAATTCACATGGAATAATGTTTTTTTAACGTGTTATTCTACAAGGTCTCTGTGGGATAAGCTTCTTAGAGCTTATTTATATTTTTTTTCTAATTTATTTTCTTTTAATTACTTGGTAATTGTTGGGGAATTTCAGCCAGATTTAATAGAAGAGGTATGAAAGATACTACATTCCAATAGATATTTACATGAAAGTTGCCTATTAGCCAAAGCTGTGGAAACCCAAATAAGTGCTTTTACTAGGAGCAAAACAGTTCTAGCAACATGTTCTATGTTTTGTTCAGCAGACAGTTATTACATTCTTAGTTCTGGACTGGTCACTGTTTTTTCACAGTGAGAAAGCTGTAAAATAGGTATGGGGCAGGGGTGGGGTGAGTCAGGATTGGCAAGAGATGCCAGACATGCAGCTGTAGGAAAACCGGGATTAATCCATTTCTCTGCTAATGGAACAGCTTTTTTTAAACGTGGCCAGATGATGATACTTCATCTGCATTTGTAGATAGAAACCTGTTTTAGCTACTCTTTAAAGCAGTCACTCTTAAAGTGCATGCAGAATTTTGGATTCTGAATCAGGAGAAGTTGAGGGCTTAAAAGATAGATGCAAATAGTTATAAAAACAACATATCTATAATGACAGAGTTAATTATTTCTATAGCAATTCACTGTTTTCATAGAGTTTTCATAGAATTCAATATATGTTTAAGGTCTGTCAGATGCTTATCTTCAGCTCATCCTGTTTGGCATTTTCATGTTACTTTATCAATGTGTCCTCTGATAATTTACTCTGAAATACTATGATACTGTTTACTCTGAAATACTATTATACTGATGCACTTAGGCCATGAAAAGTAAATTAATGCATTTATTATACAGTATAAAGTAGAAATTTTTTTATTTATTACAGGACGGCTTTGTAGTGCGAATATTTGCAACAAGTACTGAGCCAGTGCTGCAACAAGAACTGCAGCTTAAGCTTGCGAGAAAATGCTTACATGCCTGTGGCATCTCATTGTTTGATCTGGAGAAAGACTTGCACATTATCAGTAAGTCCTCTTCTTTGAAGGTTAATAACAAGCCTAGTAATCCAAATAATAAAACTGAAACACTGCCCTTCCCTTTGTTTGTCTTTATTATGTGCAGGAAGGTATGGCTCCATTATAAACGTGTGGGGAAGTACAAGGATTTTGAAACTGCTTAAGCATTGACTCGCAGTAATTCATACACTCATTTTGAACCACCTTTCTGTCTATAGCACTATCCATGGTTTCCCAGTATTTTCCTGTAGTTGTATAATAAATATGTGATTGTTTGAAGCTTGGACATCATAATAGTGCTCCTATAACACATAGTTAAGCTGTAGAATTCCTTGCTGTGGATTGAAGTTAACAAAAGTTAAAAGGACTGTTGGCTGGATTAATGGAAAAGAAATATATTGAAAGATACTAAATACTTGGAAACCACCTTTGCATCAGAATTTGAGATGCAAACTTATTGGTGTCTACAAATGTATTTTGGAGAAATATCACTTGGTCTTCAGGGTTTTTTTGCTATATTAGGTGTCTACTTTTGGCACTATCAGAACAAAAGCTTATTTGGCTACATGGACCTTTTGTCTGAACAAGTGCAGTTGCTCTTATGCTGTTGCTTTTTTCCTCTTTGAACAGCTCTGCCAAGTCTAGCTGAGTAAGCCTTCTTGTGGCAGCAAAACTTTGTTTCACTTGTAACTTCCGTAAACCTTTGTTATGCCAAACTCTCCCTTGGCAGAGTTAGGTCTGTAAACTGGTCTGTGAAACTGGTGAAACTATCTGGTTAACACAGTCTTACTCACACAGGTACAGGGTTTGACGAGGAATCAGCTGTCCTTGGTGCTGGAAGAGAGTTTGCACTAATGAAAACTGCTAGTGGAAAGGTACTGAAAATGTTCTGTAGTAAATAGCAAATTGTATCAATTTATTTCAATGTGTTTTTTTTAAATTTAATTACTATTATCATCCACAATTCCTTTTTTACCTTTTTAATATGTTAGAATGAATTTATATGACTGTATTTAAATACATTTTCAGAGCCCATTTTAAAGGGAAAAAGGCAAATGGTTATTTGAAAACATAAATAGATGGTGTTGGAACCATTGAGAAATCTGTGGCTTGAATTTATAGGACTTCCAACAGTCAATCTTACTTAGACACAACGTGGGCCTTTGTTTTAGATTTGGGGGACAAAATTACCTTTTGTCCACAAATGATGTGTTATCACATTTGCAAAATTTTTTACTTCATAGCTTTCTATTAACAGTCTGACCATATTCGTTTATTTAAATCCCAGCCTGGTTTTTCTGATCCTTCAGAGAATTATTGACTTCCCCTATGCAAAGTTTTCAACTGATTTCTTTAACCTTATTCTTAAAGATTTGATATGTTGGTTCTGCTCAGTGGAGATTGTTTTTCAGAGGCATTTGCTTATTCATTGAAATTTAGAAATAAATTTATTTACTGTCACATTATTTACTGTGTTTCTATTTCAGTTTGGGAAACTAATGTTATTTTACTTGTATAATCATAGTTCTTTTTTCCTGTGTTCAGAATTGTGTTACTTTATTGGACGGAAGGCCTTACTCTGTTTTATCAAAACAGTGAGATTGGTGAAAATGTTCATAAATAAGCTTAACTATTTTTTCCTAATAAAATTTAATAGTATGAAACAGAATTTTATCATGCAGGACTCTTCAGACATTAGAGGAGACAGATTAATTTCTTCTTCAGACTAACAAATGTCTCTTCAGTATAAAATTGACAAATTTCCTAGTTTTCATCTCTAAAGTTGTATGTTTATATATTTTGTATAAAGTAT